AAATATGAGTGAATCAGAAAAACTGAATAGATAGAGAAAAGGAAAGTAGCTTCTCTCAGTCACAAAGAAAGTGAGAGACAGTAGTTCTTGTCCCCTTACAAAATCCATCAAACAAGTCCCAATGTCCTTGAGGCATTGCTGATGGTGGCACCCTTCATTCATCATGGAATCAGATTGTGAAGGTTCTAATTTACCTCCTGGTTTCAACAGTTCCTAGCACTCCTGTCTATACTACAGTAGGAATGTGCTGCAGCTAAGTCCTCAAAGAAAATCATTAGCTCTATTTCTCTCCATTTCTAATAAAGAGTAGTCTCCACCTAATTGTTCCTTCTGTCTCTTTAGAATTTCCTCCATACATACAGGGTTCTATGGAAAGACTGTGCAATTTAACTTCACATTTAACTTGACATTAAAGGAACAGCTAACATTTACTGAGGGTCTACTAGAGGACCAAGTTCTATGCTAAATGCTTTACATACTATCTCAGTTTATCCCCACCACTACTTTGTGAGTCAGCCTTTATTGTCTACTCTATTGTCCCAACATGCACCGTAGAGATTAATGAAGCACAACTCTAACTGTGAAGGCATTCCAGAAGGGAGTAACTAATGAAGAAGATCCATTCTGACCATGAGTAACATTACCCCATAGGCTAGGAACTCAGATGGGGGAAAAAGTGGGGGGGGGGGGGAGAGGTAAAAAGCAAAAGCATTTTGTCTGTGTTTCTCGTCCTCTGTGAGACAGTGGTCTGTTACATACTTCTGCCATCGATGATGTTCTGCCTCATGATGGGCCCAAAATCAACAGAGAGAAAACTGTGGTGTGAAACCATGAAACAAACTATTTAAATCAGAATTTTTGTCACAATGACAAGATGTCTAACCCAGTGCTATCATAAATCTCTCTTTTACTGATGAGGACCTGGGATTGGTAAGGTTTGACTGTTGGGTCAAGTGCTTTGGGCTTGACAGTTAGTGGTTAACTTCACTGTTTACTCTAGTCCTCCAAAGAAGAACACTGAGCAGCAAGGGAAGAATGAGTTGGCCAAGTACTGCCATCATTCAACATGTACACCGAAATGAAAACGTGAACATTTTCTTCATTGTAGGGCAAATGTGACCAAATATTCAACAATAAAACCAACCACTGCTTGAACATGTGTGAATTGACAGGATGTACAAAGAGAAGAATGGGAGCTTTGATTCAGACATATCTACACTGTCATTTAGCACTTGGCTGGCCCTTTAGACACAGTCTGAACCTTAGCTCTATAAATCAAGTGTCAAGCTGTGAGGCTGTCTATGGTTGTTGAAAGACTGCATGTACAAAATGGATGTACCGCTGGGCAGTAGTGGCACACGCCTTTAATCCCAGCACTCAGGAGGCAGAGGCAGGCAGATCTCTGTGAGTTTGAGGCCAGCCTGGTCTACAGAGGGAGATCCAGGACAGGCATCAAAACTACACAGAGAAACCCTGTCTTGGAAAAACAAAAAACAAAAAAAACTAAAAATAAAAAAAGAAAGAAAATGGATGTATACCATTCCTTGTGTAGACATAGTCTCCCCCCCACCTCTCTCTCCCTCCCTCCCTCCTACTCTCCCCCTCTCCTCTTTCTCTCTCCTTATTGGAATTATCATAGTACATGTTGCCATCAGAACACTTGTGGGAGAGCAAGTCACAGAACAAGCTATATTTAGTGCTCCAATCATTTTGGTAGTTTCATTTATAGAATTCTTACTTGATAAATTACTATGGAGTAACAAGCTATGTTTATCGACAGGGAAATTAGAAGCAAACTATGAGTCATTCAGCCAAATTCTGAAGAGATTACAGGAATGGCCTTTGGGAAGCAGTACTATTACTGGTGAATCTCCCATAGTAATCCTGGGAGCTTGACACTATAAATGCCTTTATCTTTTGTGCACTGCGCTGTCCGTTATGTGTTGATAGGGAGCTTTAGTTTAATGTAGTCAGGCAGGATCCTAACCAAGGAGATGGCAAAGCAACACCACTAACATAACCAGTCACTACCACAAGAAAAGAGCTGTGAGCTCAGTTCCCATATCCAAGGGATCTACGCACTCTTCTGGCTTCTGTGGATGCTCACACTCACACATACCACAAATAAAAGTAATAAAAATAATATTTAAAAAAATTCAGGGGCTGGAGAGATGTCTCAGGGGTTATAAGCACTTGCTATTCTCGCAAAGGACCTGAGTTTTGTTCCCAGAATCCCTACTGGGTGGCTCACAACTTCCTGTAACTTCAACTTCAGGGGATCTTATGTCCTCTTCTGGCCTTTTAGGTACTGGAATCATTTTCATCTACCCACACACAGGCGCACACACACATACATAATTAAATAGAATTGGTTTAATGATTTCCTTTCAGGTTGTTTATAGCTAGTGTATAGAAATGCAACTGACATTTGGAGGTTGAATTTGTGTCCAGCACTTTGCTTAATCCACTATTTCTTTTTTATGTTTTTTCTTAGTTTCTCTCTCTTTTTTTTTTTTTGGTTTTTCAAGACAGGGTTTCTCTGTATAGCTTTGTGCCTTTCCTGGAACTCACTTTGTAGACCAGGCTGGCCTCGAACTCACAGAGATCTGCCTGCCTCTGCCTCCCGAGTGCTGGGATTAGAGGCGTGCACCACCACTGCCTGGCTTCATTGTTATTTCTAGTGTGTGTGTGTGTGTGTGTGTGTGTGTGTGTGTGTGTGTGTGTGTCCCATGGAAATCTGTATTAATTTCATACTCTCTGTGAACAGAGATGATTTCCCTGTTCCTTTCCAGTTTGGATGTTCGTTCTTTCTTTCCTGTGGAAGATCAGGTTAACTAGAATGGGTAAAAGAGGACACCAGCCTCCTGCTCCTGCCTTTGCAGGAACAGCCTTCAGTCTCATCAGGGAGTATGATGTTTACCACAGTGTTTTCATAAATGACTTCACTATGTGGAGGCAGTCTCCTTCTACTCCTAATTGTTGAGTGTTTTTATCACAAAGCGTGTGGAACCTTGCCTAATAGTTTTCTGCATCGGTTAAAATTATGTTTCTTCTTCATCCTGTTAATATTGAACACTGCCCTGATGACTGTCATATGTGGATACATCATTGCATTCTGGGATAAATCCTACTTGGATATAATGACTAATTCTGGCAAATGTTCCCTATAGACACGGATAAGACAAACCTCAGCAAGTAGTAAACAACATCACGCAGGATGAGGATGCAGACTGACAGGCCATCCACCCTTGCTATTTATCTTTTTAGCTGTTTTCTTTGTGAGTAACATGGAAAGTATATTTAAACCCTGAATTGTGGGAGTTGGAGAAATGGCTCAGAGGCTAAGAACACTTGAGGTTTTTCCAGAGAACCTGGGTTCAGTTCCCAGTACCCAGATGGCAGCTCACAACCATCCTTAATCTAGTTAAAAGGGTTTCCAGGACCCTCTTCTGGCCTCCATGGACACAGGGTACCCAGACTGTGCACTTACATACATGTGGACAAAACACTCATAAATATAAAACAATAATAATTTAAAAATTCTGAGTCCTGAACACCAAAATTTAAATTTACAACAGCCTGTCTTTGGCAATACACAAAAGCTTCACTCCTTCAAGGGTTCTACCCCAACCCTTTCAATTCTTAAGGGTATTAAAATTACTTTCTTATTTTAATTCAGTGTAAACAAATTATTCTTTAAGTCAATTAGTCTCTTATGTACATAAAAATGTGAATAAAAATGTTTCATTTGGTTACTGAACTTGTCTGTTCCAGTATTTCCTTTTATGAACAGAAGACATTACTCATTGGTATAATACTTTGCCAGCAAGCTAGAGGCTAAAGGTTCTATCAACACCATCATGTATGTCTGCAATACACAAACACACAAGTACACAAAGAGAAAGAGAGACAGAGAGAGAGAAAGCGACTGAGAGAGATTTTTGTGTTTGCTTCTTCGTTTTCTATCTCCTTATTGATATTCCCATATACCCATCTCCTATGACATTTCATAGACTCAATATCTTCCTTTAGTTCTGTAAGCATCTTCAAGGCAGTTGCTTTACAGCCTGTCTCTTGTGTCTTTCATCAGGTCTTTCTTTGGGGTACTTTTTGTTGATTATTTCTCTTTAAATGGGCCATAGTTCCCTATTTCTTTACAGTCTTAAGAATTTTCATTGAAAACTGGACATCGAGCTCCTGAGCGATGGAGGCAGTGATGGAGACGAGCTCTGATTCTGGCTTTAGCTCCAGCTCTGTCACAGACTTCCAGTCTGGGTCTGGTAACCTAGAGACCCGACATGATTTTTTGACTCTCCAGTGGTGTCCTGCCTGCGAACTGGCAACTGTTTTGGAGCGCTTCAAAGAGAGTTGCTGCTACATCTCACCACCGCCTCTTCCCAAGGATCCTGCTCCATGGCTGGCCTGTCCCATGCAATTGAAATAAGTTGACAACCATTAGCCTGGGTTGCAACTGCAGGTGGCACTGGAAACTGACTGGTTCCTGGACATGCCCAGTAGAAGGAGAGATCCTAGTCAGCAGCAGCTAAGCCAGTCAGCTTTACCTTCTATACAGACTGGTTGGTGGTGGCTGTGGCAATGGAACAGGCTTGAGAAACAGCAATGGTAGTGCTATTGGCCTTCCAGTCCTACCTATCACAGCCTTAACCACCCAAGGTCCTGTTTGTCATTGCCAAATTCCTGACTAACCAGTAGATTACAGCCTGTTCTTTGAGTTTCTTTTCTTCATCTACATGCTGATTGTTCTGTTCATTCAGTACATCACCATCTAGAAGACTGTGTGGTGGTATCCATACAATCATCCTGCATCTTGTACTTCACTGAATTTTCATCTCATTGATTATCACCTGGTATCATTCATCACAGCAATGTTTGTCAGAAGGCTCATACCGGCCCTCATTTCAGAGAAAAGATTCCTACCTGAGAAAGACCAGTCATTTTTAAAGACAGCATCTATGATTCACTACACAGGTGCCACTTACTCTGTGTGGATGGGTGCTTTGCTGGACCCTGGTTAATCTCTTCTGAAGCCATTCAGTCCTCAATCTCCTCTTCCTTGGCTATCCATTTGGTGTTTATGTTCCTCTCTGCTGTTTCCACCAAGATAGTAGAACCCATCTTCTTCTCACAGACTATTTGGCTCAGCATCAGGCAGTAGAGAAAGGTGCTTCCAATGTGGGCAGTTTGGCCACATCCAAAGATTTCCTCTCCTTATTGCTGGAGTCTCTAAAAGAACAGTTTAATAATGCTACGCCTATTCCCCACCCACAGCTGTCCCCTATCTCCTGATCTCATTTACAATGAGGTAGAATGTTTGAAAGCAGATTTCAATCACAGAATCAAGGAAGTTCTCTTCACCTCCCTCTTCGTGCCTACTACGTTGTATTTCTCCTGCTGTGTTTTATAAAGAGTACCCAGTATTACCACATGCACTGGTCATGTGAGCATTTCATTATGGTGTGGATCAGTGCTTTTGTCATGCTCAACACACAGCTGCTACCATCCAAGTACTGTGATTTGCTACATAAGTCAGCTGCTCACCTGGGCAAGTGGCAGAAGTTGGAACATGGGTTCTACAGCAATGCTCCACAGTATATTTGGTCAGAAAACACAATATGGCCTCAAGGGGTGTTGGTGCGGCACAGCAGATGTTTATATAGAGTCATGGGACCTTACAACGTGGCATTGCTGTCAGATGTATCCCATGCCCGCTTTTATCTCCTGTTTCACTGTCCGTTAAGGCTGTTCAACCTGCTTATCCTCGTTGAGGGCAGTGTTGTCTTCTACCAACCCTGTTCCTTGCTGCAGTCAGAGAAGTGGAACCACACACTCTCTATGACACTCAGCCTTTTCTGCAACTACTATGTTTTATTTAAGCTCCTCTGGGACAGGATAGTCTTAGGCAGAGCATACTCCTACCCACCCCCAACAGTTATGAACTCAAAACAAATTAAGCTGCCTCTCAACATGAGGGAGAACTCAGATAAAAATATTTTCATACAATCTATTTTTTTCTTGTGATTTTTATAATACTTAAAATATTTTATATTTTGTATACTATTATGCTATGGATGTTGCTCTGTATAAATAAAATGCTCATTGGCCAGTAGCCAGGCAGGAAGTATAGGCAGGATAAGCAGAGAACAGAATTGTGGGAACAGGAAGGTTGAAAGGAGACGCTGCCAGCCACCATGACAAGCAACATGTGAAGGTGCCAGTGAGCCATGAGCCACATGGCAAGGTATAGATGAATAGAAATGGGTTAATTTAAGATATAAGAACAGATAGCAAGAAACCTGAGCCACACGGCCATACAGTTTGTAACCAATATAAGTCTCTGTGTGTTTACTTGGTTGGGTCTGAGCGGCTGAGGGACCGGCAGGTGAGAGAGATTTGTCCTGACTGTGGGCCAGGCAGGACAGGAGAAAACTCCAGCTATACTATTATGTTTCGAAAGTTGGGAAGGGCAAGGGATATTAAATGTATCCATAAAAAAAGTGATGTTATCTTTCATGTGTTAGTATATTTGAATATTATACATGAGAGGTCACCCCTTCAGTAAAAGATTTTGTTTAAAAAAAAAAAACTAGACATCTGAGAACGACGTAACTCTAGGAACCAAATCCTCTCTTTTCATCAGAAGTTGGCTTCTGTCTGTCTGTTTTCAGTTGTGGTAGCTGTAGACTTACAATAGCTATCAGGGGAGGATATATTAACAAGGGAGATGCTTGTGTCCCTCCCTCTGCTATTAGACTGTGGAAACAATGGAGCCATGCTGGAGGAAGTGATAAAAGATTGAAGCCCTGGTGTCAGCCAAAGGATGGACCTGCATTCCAGAAAGCAAGTTCACATGCTCTGGGTTCTGACAACTTAAATTAACACATATATATTTCCTGGCTTTTATTTTGTCTTTTATAAAACTTTAACACTTACATAAGAGGAGAAAAGAAACTAGAAATCTCTCTCCCTAGTTTGGCCAGACTATAAATTAATTTCCTTCATTAATTTGTCTGCTAATTTCTTTTAGGAAGCAGTGAGTTCATGAATCTAAGCACCGTTAAAACAGGCTTTCTCCCAAAAATTAGCCTTCCAGGCTGGAGAGACAACTCAGCAGTTAAAAGCACTGGCTACTCTTCCAGAGGACCCTGATTCAATTCCCAGTACCCACATGGCAGCTCACAACTGTCTGTAACTTCAGTTCTATGGGATCTGACACCTTCACACAGATATACATGCAGGCAAGACATAAAATAAAAATAAATTATTTTTTTTAAATTAGCTTTCCATTTAACTGCAGGCATTTTCTAACTTCCCTGTATGTGCAGTTGCTCTCTAGAATCTTAGCATTCTTATCTTTAATGTCAGGCCCCTAAAAAGAGAGGGGAAAGGTGGGGTTCTCAAGGTGAGGAACAAAGTGTCTTGATCTCTTACCACACTGGGAGCCACTTCAGCTGAGGAGAAAAGAGATTGCAAAATGGAAGGGGAGCAACCTCAATTGCCATCATCTTTGTTGTATGCAACCTTGTGATCATAGACAATGCTGAAGAGTAAACATCCCCAGTGCTTAGGAACGGGGCCTTTTTGGTCAGCTGACCTTGAGATGTAGTCAAAAGATTTCCTGTGCTCACAAATATTTCTCACCCTTCTTACAGGACCCCACAGAGACACTGTCGCCACCTAAAGAGCAGGAAGTAATTCTAAGAAAACTATGCCCCCTCTCCCAAAGTTTCATTTTTCTCAGGGTTATGGATGGATGGTTATAGGGTTGGGGGTGGAGCAATAAAATTTAGACTCAGTATTCTCCTTTAGAAAAAAAAGGGGGGGAATAGATAGGTATAGGATATTAAGGTAGATTATTGTATGGACTAGTAAACAGATTTAGCAAACTATCAGTCTTGGATAATTTGCACTGATATGGATTCTTGTATATTTGATACAAATGTAAATTATTCCTATATTACTATTTAAGATAATTTGTATATTGATATAAATACAAAACTATATTTATTATATTGTACACAAATTCTTACTCCTGTTTGAAATATTTTGTATATTGATACAAATGTAATATTATATTTCTCATACTGCATGTATGTTCTATCTCTGTTTAGGATATTTTGCATATTGATACATATCAAGGATATTGTTGTCATTGCATATTGCATTGTACATTTCTACCTCTGTTTAAGATATTTTGTGTATTGTCACAATTTTAAGGTCATTGTCCTTATACAGTACATCTGCTTACAGACTGTTTACCTTGTTAATGTGAAGCCTTAGTCCTTAGGTTATTTAGGTAGATAAGACTTACAGAACTATAGTCACCCATGCTTGTCATTCCTATAGTTATGTTAGTTAAGTTGTCCAGATTTAAAGAAACATAGGTCAGATGGATAGGTACTCTTCAAACACTTCATAGACCTAGAGAATATGACATTTAAATGTTTTGATAACTTAGAATTCTATTGACATGAAATATGATTGCTCCTGGCAGCATGGATCTGATCCTGAGAGAATGTTGGGCTTCTAGACATTTCTGTTTGGAAGTTTGTCTCCTTCTTGCTCCTTCTTGCTTTGGCCTGCTGGACAAAGAACTGCCCTTGCCTTGACTGCTTACAGATGAACGCTCGTCCAGAAAGGACACAAGGAAAAGCAACTACTGAATTCTGTCAAGACAAGGTAAGATGGTCTTTCAAAATTTCTGCTTCTGAAAATTGTCTGTCAGATATTCTAGGCCTGTAGCCAAATTGGATGCCCCTACAATGCTGAGAAACTTTAAGTGACTGTCCAGGCTGCCAGCTGTCTCTGTCTATTCTCACAAGAATTTCGGAAATTGCTTGCTTGCATTTTCCATTTTTCCAGGCATTATTTTCTTTCTCAAGTCTTTGATGGAGTTGAAGACTAGATAGTTACAGTTACAATCTTCTTGTATCTTAGCGAGAACATATTAGTACTAGAGTTAGAATCTTCAAGATAGGACAACTATTGAAGTAATCTCAGTAATTTGCCATTTACCTGTGTTCTGGACATTTCAGGACATTTAGCATTTCTTTCTTGTTTGATGTTATTCCTGTTGGTGTTAGTTCCATTTTTATTTATGTTATTACCCTTTGTTTTTCCTGGAAAATACTTGATAATCATTCTTATTGTTTGCATTAAGTTTAGAACCTTCTTTATTAGACAAAAAGGGAAAATGTAGTGGTATTTGCTCCGCCCATGACCTTGGGATAGGGCCTGAAGGAGGTGGTGCTTCCTTCCTTTGTACATGACCTCTCAAAAGGAGAGGAAGAATGGTCACATGCCCCTTCTCCCTGCTCCTGCCTTCGAAGTGGATTTGCTCCTGGTCAGATCAGAGGACTACTTCAGCTGTCTACTCTGTTCTGTATTCGTGAGTGTATTTCCTCAATTTACCTTAATAAATTTCCCTAATACTTCTTAAAACAGATTCCCGTGGATTTATTGCTTTATTGAGGACTGTGTAAGTTTCTCCAGGAACTGTGTAACAGCTGCCTGATGCAGGGATAGGTAAGGGTCCGGTAGCTGCTACTTCTCTAAAACCACAAGCTAACTAAAATTAACTCTATATAGCCCAAGCTTTCCTTGGAAGTCACAAATCTTTACTATGCGCCAGAGATCAAACTAGTTATACTGGACAGATCTACCATTGTGGTTACTGTCTAGATAAAACAGACCCTTAATATCTCCCAGTTCATCATCTCAGAATCTTTTTCCCGAACCCTGAAGAGAAGGAAGTGTTCTTTAACATGGGAGGAATGAATTTTAGGTGTCTGTGCTAATGAAGACTATACGAATACACTGGTAGAAATTATAAGTCTACAGTCTAAACTAGGAATGGTGACATTTTTCCAGTACTTTAGAGATGATATGGACTCCAATTTACAACTTTGTTGTCCAAATTTCTCAGGGATTTAATGTTTTATGGTTGTCCTGGAGCTCCAATATCTTGAGATGCTAACTCTATGTTGCCTTTAGCTCTTTTTGGAGTATACCTCAATGTATCAGTAAGTGTAATAATTATTGGTAAGGAAAGCCTTCCATTTGTATGTAGAGGCAGTACAGCAACTGAGTATTTCTGTGAGCTCAGCAATTAAATTAAGTCAGCAGACCCAAAAACAATCATGCATTGAAAGAATTATTTTTCATTATATAAAACAAAAAGTTTCATTTTCTGATAAATGCATATAAGACTGCCTTTCTAGACAAATTTATTTCTACCTCATGTTATATAGGTACTACAAAACGTATAGTCCATAGTTAATGGAGATTCTAAAATATTTAATTATCTGTTGAACCGAGCTTTGAAATAAGATTTTGCCAGCTATAGACAGAACAATCTATGGCTAGACTCCTTTACCTGGTATCAGAAAAAAATCTGATCAAACACCTTGTATAATTTACATCCCTCTTCCCCACACCCTAGAAGGAATTTTAAGAAAGCCTGTATTGTCTATCATCCATTATTTCAGAACCAAGGTAGCACAATGTAGAGTTAGCACTTCATTATCTAGGAGCTGTGGGTCAGAGTGGATCACCAAACATTAAATCCCGGGGAGACTGTGGCAATAACATTGTAAGATGGGGTCAGTATCATCTATGACTCCAAAAATACCAGAAAATGTCACTTATTCCTTGTTTGAAGTTAATCATTTTCAACCAATTTCTCATATGCATTGTTTTGGGACGTTTTTTCTACTTTGCTTATCAGCCTTTTCAAAGTCGATCTTGCATTATTTCCTAAGCAACTGAAACAATAAGGCCTTTGTCATCCCTCAGTTTCCCCTTTCTAGTGAGCATAAATCTTTAGATAACCCAGAGTGGGAATCTGGGCCCAGTAGGAGAGTTTGGCATATAACAGCTGAATTTGAGGAACTTGATTTTGGAAATGAAAGAGACCCACAAAGGCATCCTCATTCGATCTCAAAGGTTCAAGTGAAGAAAAAGGTAGGGATAGGAGAGCTAAGGGCAGAAGAGGAGCCTGAATGACAGTCAAGGAAAGAGCCGAGAGCCTATAGGTATCTAGCAAGTCATCCACACAAATCGCCAGCTGGGGACTTGGAAAGGGAGAAGGGAAGCAGCCACCCTTTCCAGCCTCACTTCCCATCCTCAATCCATGCATTGTCAATTTGCATTTGCAGCTCTGAATTCCTGATCTTTGTATAAGGATTTCTGCTGAAGCCTTTAATAGGTTAAAAACAAAAACATACAGCTCTTGATTCCAGAAGATTCGGCTATCTTCTCTATCAGACTTTTCCCTAGCCCAAGGGATTGATAGTAAATTAATCCTGACAAAATTTCAACACTGAGGATAGTGTGTATTTGATAACTTACAATATACTTTGACTTTTGTGCTTACAATTAAATATAGCATTTTAGAAATGCCTTAGTCTTACCTGCCACACTGTTAAACACTAGCATCTGCATCCAGCTTTGTGGGCAACTAGGTGTCCCCACACTTTAGAAGGAAGGAGAGGACAAGGAAGACACAGTCCTCACTTTTGTCTATGGTTACCAGCAGATCTGTCTAGAAATACACCCAAAAGGAGAGAGCCGAGAAGGGGCTTCATAGTGAGGTGGTTGGTTGAGTAACATGAAGTAGGTCCATGTGGTGGTCTGTCATGGTTACAGATTTACACTCAGTTTCCTTCTAACTGCTTTCCAACTGAATTGTACAAAAATGCTACATATGCCAAAGATAAAGTAAAACTCATTTAAAACAATCTCAAATTACCACAGATTTAATTTTACTGAGATTGATTACATGATTTATCTACATATTTATTGAGGTATAGACCTGAATATATCCTTCTCACTATTGAAAAAAATCAAAAGTGAGTTAAAGATATCCATATTTATGACTCCTGCTTTTTATCAGGTTTTTAATGACAGCATGGTTTGTAGATAAAACACTTCAGTGTTGGGCTTAAGCCCAGGTAGCTTAGCTGGCTTGTGTGCACTATGGCTACTCCTTGGGAATGGGTACAGCTCACCTCTCATGCCTAGCCTGAGAATCCAATCTATAAATTAATTGTAACGTGCAAATTAAAGTTTAAAAACAGTGCAAAGACACCAAAGGAGTTAATGTAATGAAATACTCAGTTTGAAATACGAAAAGCTTGTTGTACTCCATAATTAATTTCCTGTGACTGATGCAGAAACTTCGTCTCAGGAGAATTTTAAAAATGACAATCTAAAAAAATCATTTAAAAAGTGCATTCCTCAGTTGATTTTACTACATTGCCATTGGAAAAGCTTTAAACTCCCATGGCTATTTTATATCCACAATTTATTTGAAAAATATCGTATTTCAATTTAAAAGCATACTATGCATTGTTCTGTTTTTATAAGTCCAAATGTAACTATGTTTTAAAATCTGAGATAAAAAAACTTACAAGAAGAGAAACTGTAAAAAGAATAAAGTTTTTATGTCACTGTACCTACCTTTAATGTGAGACTGTAAAGTCCAACAAATGTTGCACTTATCCATGCTGTTGAGTGGGGGTCACCCAGAAATTCTATGTGATACTTTTCAACATTTCCATCCTGGTCATAGGTCACATATTTCCCTTTGAAAGGATCAGGACAAAGTATTCCTGGCCAACTTTCAAAAAAAAGTTAAAATAAGTTTCATTCCTTTTAAAAAAATAAGTAACTCATTGACACATCTGTCACAATCAAATATTGAACTTATTTCTTTGAATTTTAACAACTTCTACAAACATAAATTTATTCCTACTTACATCTTTCAAGGATAATAAACAAGTAATAAATTGTATCTTTGTAGCAATAAAATGTTTTGATACTGTCACAGACAAGATGAAAAAGAATTCTAAAAGAAATGATACCCAGAATCCATATGAAACATTTGGACACAACTGACAGGCAAAAAAAGGGAGAAATGATACATTAAATTCTCTGTAGAACTGAATTAATGCTAGTCACAAAAAATGATGAGTTACTAAAATATTAACCATTGACATGGCTTCTGCCAAAGTGAGAGAAAGCTATGTGGATGGATGATAGATGATAGATAGATAGATAGATAGATAGATAGATAGATAGAGAGAGAGAGAGACAGATAGACAGATTAGATATTATAGACAATGGATAGATGAGAGATACATAGATAACAGATAGGTGATAGGTAGACAGATAGGTGATAGGTAGACATATAGGTGATAGGTAGATAAGTGATGGACAGATAGATGATATGCCAGATAGACATACATGATAGCTTATAGGTAAATGATAAATTTTAGATAATAAATGACAGAGAGTCATAAAGCAATAATAGCTTAAAGATAAATGATAGGTAACAGATTATAAATAGATGATAGATACATAGCTATAGGCAAGTAGATAACAGATAGATTAACAGGTGACAGGCAGAAAAACAGCTCACTGCTCCAACAGTGTGAACACTGTAGAGGACAGAAAAGGCAGAACTTTAGCTCCAGCATTCTAAACTGTTCCTCCCCTCGATCTGCTCAGTCGACAAGTCACTACATTGCTAAAAAAAAAAAAAATCAGAACTCTAAGTAAAATTTTATTTTAAAAGATCTTTAAAGATATGTTTAGGAGCTGGAGAGATGTCTCAGAAGTTAAGAGCACTGGCTGCTCTTCTAGAGGATCTGGGTTCAATTCTCAAGACCCACATGGCAGCTCACAATTATCTGTTGGAACTCCAGTTCCAGAGGTTCCAATGTCCTCTCTCCTGGCTTCTGCAGGTACCAGGCACACAAGTGGTACAGAGACAAAACACCCACACATAAAGTAAAACTTAAATGCAATGTTTATTGGGACAAAAACCTCTACAGAGCTCATTTTTCCCTTTGGACACTCAGTTCCCACGTCTATAGCTTTCTATTTTTCTACTTTCTATCTAATTTTGATTTCTTTTAATCATTGCTTTTTAACTATACGTGTGTGTGTGTGTGTGTGTGTGTGTGTGTGTGTGTGTGTGTGTGTGTGTAGGTGCAAAAGCACTATGTACTCTTAATTGCTAAGCCATCTCTCCAGCGCCTGATTTTTCTTCTTTGCATCAGCAGCCAGAAGTTCAAGGCCAGGACAACACTGCTAAGCAAAGGCTGAAAACAATACCCCATCTGGAGTCCAAACAGGAAATTAGACAGCAAGTCCTGAAAACTGCTGATGTGAGAAAACCCATGCCTGCTCTACTCACTTTATTTATTCAATTCCGTATCAAAAGGAAGCTGAAACAATCATCTTGAAATTTCCTGACTATGAATATAAATGAAAACAAAGTTAGGTAGGGAATGGTGGCACAGACCTCTAATCCCAGCACTCACAAGGCAGAGGCAGGCATATCTCTGTGAGGTTGAGGCTAGCCTGGTCTATGTCTAGTTCTAAGCCAGCCTGGCTACATAGTGAGATCCTATCTCAAACAAACAAGCAAATTTAGCACTGACTAAGAAAACTGAAATTTTCAAGTACTGCATTTTCTCAATATTTAACAGGAAGTAGATGTGTATCTCAAAAAGGCCACTTTTTGCCTTCAGATAAAGCATGCTTATTACTGCTATGTGTCCTATTTATCCTGTGTATTAAATTGACATTTTCTTACACATTTCATATATTACCTTATATGAATTGACTATCTTAGAAAACTACACCTCTGAAATTCAAATGATTATTTTGTATTCAAGTGGTAAAATGTAAATTGTTAGCTTGAAATGCTATGTTAAGGATACAATCCATATTTTATCCATGGCAAAAATTTTATACACACACACACACACACACACACACACACACACACACACTTGTTTCCCCCTCTGGCCTCAAATGATCCTCCTGACTCATTCTCCAGAGTGCCAGGATTACAGGTGTACCAGCATGCCCGATTCTAATTAAGTTTTAAATATTTTACCAACATTCCAACATCTGGCCTGCCACTCTGACATTAAACCAAGAAGGAAAGACAGAACATAAAGTGAGGATCTCGTGATAAAGAATCATGGTAGAAATCTGACAAAGGTTTACAGCTCAAGATCTAGATTGTACACATCTAGCACTGTAACACTGAAAATTGTACACTTGTCCAGCTCTGGGCCGCCAGCAGCTCTGTAAAGTGGGAGAGTTACTAGCAGTCAAGTGAAGAAACGCATGTTCTCACTCTGCCTTCTATCAAGTGGCCAGCTTTCTGAAGGCATCTAGTTCTTGCTATGTTCTTTATAACATGTTATAAAGTTCAAATAAATGTGTGATTTATACATTTTTGTCTTGAGAAATTAGAAGTCCGTCATCATCATAAGGCTGAGCTGTGTCATGACTAATTTAGATGTTAAAAACCTATTTTCCAGTATCTCAGAAGGTGACTGCATTCAGAGAAAGGGCCTTTAAAGAAATAACCAAGAAAGCTGGACATGGTGCAATATATATATACTCCTTGCACTCAGGAGGTAGGGGGAGGAAGATCAGAGTCCAAGGTGAATTGAAAAACATGGGAGTCTGTCTCAAAACAACAAGAAGTAACTCAGTTAAAACTGAGCTCGTTAGTTAGGACAGGCTCTATGTCTAAGACAACCTGTGTCATGAGAAGAGATCAGGACACAGACATGCGGAGGGAAGAGCATGTGAGGACATGGCAAGAAAGCAGCATTCGTAAATCAAGGAGAAAGAAACTGTCCATGGAATACCTCCATCTCAGGACTTGGAGCCTGTGGAAAGCACATCTGCATTATGTAAGCCAGCTAATGTATGCTGTTTTCTTATGGCAACCAGAGAAGCTAATATGACTATGTATATGTAGAATAATTGGTGCAGCTGAAGAGAAGAATGATCTAGAAATATCTCCCTTTATTTAGCAAGAGGCTCTGTGTTTGCCTTTTAGAGGTTCCTAAGTATGTGGTGTACCAGAATGTGGGAGAAAACTGGCTATGAGACAAATAGACAAGTACTACTCTCCTGAGAACTGTTTGCTTTTATTTAAAAAAAAATTAAATAAGCACTTCTAGATCCTGCATCAGTTTCTCTTTAACATTCTTGAATCAACTCATTTGAGCAACAGATACTCTGGATGCTGGCAAGATGGAGTCTCTAACCTTAAGAATTGCCTATAAAGCCATAGGTTAAAACAATCTACCCAGTGAGTACTCTGCTGTAAGCACCTCTGCAGGTAGCAGCTGTCTTTGTACTTCAGGGTCTAGAGTATTGCTTAATTAAGATCAGATTTTTGACTGTTTCTTGTGGGTTAATTCTATCTTTACATTTTACTATTGTAATTTATTTTGTTATTATCATTCTATACATTTCTGCCGTTGAATAAACAATGCAAGTAGATTTCAGTTTCTTAATTTGAAATTTAAATTTGTGCTCAGCTTAGCTTATAAAGAGGAACATAAATGATACACAGTCAAATGCATTCTACTCTCTGAAGAAGGGGAGATGCAGCTGTTTTTCAGGCATGTCAATGACAGTAATCACAAATTAAAGATAATTTAGGGACTGGATTAAAACATTTTTATATAAATTTTAAGTTCTTTTGCTGTGGGATGTTCTGTATGGCAAATGTGTTGCTGATTGGTCAATAAATACAACACTGATTGGCCATTGGCTAGGCAGGAAGTATAGGCGGGACAAGGAGGAGAATAAAGCTGGGAAGTGGAAGGCTGAGTCAGAGAGACACTGCCAGCCACCATGATGAGAAACAGCATGTGAAGATGCCGGTAAGCCACAAGCCATGTGGCAAGGTATAGATTTATAGAAATGGATTAATTTAAGCTGTAAGAACAGTTAGCAAGAAGCCTGCCACGGCCATACAGTTTGTAAGCAATACAAGTCTCTGTGTTTACTTGGTCGGGTCTGAGTGGCTGTGGGACTGGCAGGTGAGAGAGATTTGTCCTGACTGTGGGCCAGGCAGGAAAACTCAAGCTACATTCTTTGCCTTAGTTACTAATTCCTAGTGAAATTTTCTGTTTTTCAGATATATTGATTGATAAAGCAAATTCATTTCTTGAGTTACAGTTATTGAAACTTCAAATTTCTCATTTGGAAATTGCTTTCAAAATGCATTTTTAACTGTGCTTTCAAAATGTTTGCTTTAGAGATAGAGAACTATAAATCCCTTTGTGATAATTTCAGTAAATGCTTATATTACATGTCCCCTAAAATATTGGATCTTATGTAGCCAATTAATGTTCATGTTAATTATAATATGGGAGGGAATAATACTATTTATAATGCTGTCATTTTGATTCCCAGAAAAGCCCTCATTTAAAAAAAAAAAGGGCACAGAGTTCACAAATTTGTAAAGGCAGTGAGTATATGAGTTTGTTAGGGCTGTTACAATGAAATATCATAGGCTTGATGGAAGAAGCAAGAGAAATTTACTTTCTGCAGCTTTTATAGGCTAGTAATCCAAGACTGAATATGAACAGTTTGTTTCTTCTGGTCTCTCTCCCAGGCTGGCAGATGCCCCCTTTCTACTGTATTTTCAGTCTTTCTGTTTTCCACGTGCATGCCCATACCCTGTCTTACAAGAATACCAGATAAATAGAATTAGGGCATTCCCTAATGGGTCTCATTTGTAATTAATCACTTCTTTAAGGGTCCTATACCCAAATATGGTCACATTTTGACATTTTAGGAGTTATGGCAGCATTCAACATATGAATGTTTAGGGTTCATAATTCATCACAAAATAGTGAGAAAGCAAGAACCTAAATCTACATATTGACATGAAGGTCTATTACACACATGTGCATATCAGAACAGGCCTGTCATAGCCTCTCTTTTAAGGTTTGATTCCTTATGGTCTTCATAGAGAACAAGACAATAAATTAATATACTTGATTTTTGTAATGTAAAAGTTTATGAAACTAGTAAACGATTCTGAAAGAGTAGTATTGTGGTGATACACACTCAGAATCCTGTACAATTTCTTCATAAATACAGGTAGAGTAAATACAGCAGCACTACACTTGCCATATAGCAGCCATGATTAAGCTTAGTGATTGGCTACTGTATATGCACCAAAACAGGATCAGTAACTACAACTCCCTAGGAGACCTAACAAGATTGGTGTTTGTGAGAGAAAAGAAGGGTGGGCGGGAAAAGCACAGAGCTCATCGGACAAATTGGAGAATGAGAACTTCAAAATGGTAGCAAGCTTCATGGGCGAGTTCAGCAGGCTGAACTGATAGCAACAGGCTAAACTGCAGCAGGGCAACAAGCAAGTCTGAACACTTTGGAGCACTGAGGATCCCTGGGAACATGAGACCTAAGAGGGATCATTTCCAAGAACACCCTTAACTCTGATAAAAACCAACAGACAATGGACTGCTGGGAGAAAAGTCAAGTCAAAGATGACAGGATCGATAAGAAGAGCAGAGGAACTTGTTTTGTTGCCAGATTAGTCTTCCCCTATGGGACTCCAGGGAGCACAGAACTGGGCTAACAGAGGAAAGGGACACTGATAGTTCCAACAGAGGTGCCAGAACAGCTGTAAAGCATGGCGAAACAAACCAGAGCACACAACAGTAGGAGCCAGTCCTCGGTGTCCCCTCTGCTCTCCAGCGGCCAGGCAGAGGACACCCACTGCTTCCCTTGTCACATCCTGGAGTGCAGTAGCCAGGCACCACTGGAGAAGAGATCCCTTGTCTGGGAGTTGCTGTGGGGTGGTCTGTATGTCAAGTGTGTTGCTGATTGGTCAATAAATAAATCACTGATTGGCCAGTGGCCAGGCAGGAAGTATAGGCGGGACAAGGAGAAGAATAAAGCTGGGAAGTGGAAGACTGAGTCAGAGAGACACTGCTAGCCGCCACCAGGACAAGCAGCATGTGAAGATGCCGGTAAGCCATGAGCCACGTGGCAAGGTATAGATTTATGGAAATGGATTAATTTAAGTTGTAAGAACAGTTAGCAAGAAGCCTGCCACGGCCATACAGTTTGTAAGCAATATAAGTCTCTGTGTTTACTTGGTCGGGTCTGAGCGGCTGTGGGACTGGCAGGTGAGAGAGATTTGTCCTGACTGTGGGCCAGGCAGGAAAACTCTAGCTACAGGGAGTAGTAGGTAGTCACTGAAAACAAGGAGCTCACAAGTTAGGGACCCTAGGAACACCCTGCCATGGGTCTGGGTGGGAGATGTTCACAAGAAGTACCCTAGGAGACTGAGAGGTTTAGGCAGCAAGGAGCTGCAACTGAAGAGAGCAGTGTTTGGGGGCCTCTCCCTCTGTGGTGAAGCAGACACCTCTGTTAGCTGGGACTGCTTGGCCTCCAGGCCTGAGGCTTGCTGCTAAGTGGGACTGAGAGCTCTGAGCCCAGGTCAGTCAGACTACACAGCAAATCACTTACTTCCCCAGCCTCCTCCATTCCCATAGGATCACAGAAGAAACTAATACTAAGTTAGTATGGTAAAAATAGTATGAGACAAAAATACCAAAAGATGAAAGCTTGCCACAGAGGAATGGTTTTGAAAGAATAAGATTGTAATCAAGATTTCAAGTTGCCCTAACAGAATCAAAGAAAATAATGTAGATACAATGTACATGTGTGAACTAGAAAAACATTTAAAATGAGTGATTAAGGATTTGAAAAAACTTAAAATGAAAACCTTTCTAAAACTTCAAAAATGAATGATAAATTGGAAGGAATAAAAAACAACTGGTACCTTCAGAAAAATAAAATATGTAGAGGAAAAATATTTATATTTTTAAAGGGCTAAAAAGATGAAAAAAGTTCAAGAAAAAGAAATACCAAAGACAGAAAGGATTACCTAAGTTACAGAATCATGAAGTAAAACCCAAACTCATATGATGGGACAATGTAACTGCCTTTAAGTTGAGAAAGTTTAACTGAATTCTAAGTCTAGTATAATGAAAACACATAGTACATATTTGAAAAAATTCGACCCATAATACAAAACTCTGAAATATAATAAATCTACATAAATTTAATGAAAAATATTTTAAGCATCTATGGAATAATTAATATCCTCAAGTGTTTGTCATTTAGAAAAGCACTTATAAATAACCCATTTCAATGAAAAATTGGCAACTATTTTAAGATTAATAGAATACAATGTTTATCACAGGTCTTGGAAGAGATTTTGTAGCTTTATGATGAAAAAGTAAGAGATGAATTCAACTACCTAACACTCACTTAAGGAAGTAGAGGAATGAACACAACTCAGATGACAAAGATGGTATCAGAAACCGGCAATTAAGGACCACTGGGACAGTTCGGCAGGCAAAGGCACTTGCCAACAAGCCTGATGACATGAGCTCCATCCCCAGGACCCACATGGTGGAGGAAGAGCTGATGCTGGAGATTACACCTGTCAAGACACAGAGTGTAAATCTGGAGTGAACCCTCAGGTACACTATAAACTCTGGAGATAACTAGGATGTGTCAAGGTAAGTTCACTAATTACAACAAATCACAGAGTGTGGAGTGTAACTGGGAGAGAGACTGAATTCTGAGTGGACAGAGGTATAGGGAACTGTACTTACACCCAATTTTTGTGAACCCAACGCGCTCAAAACATGGAAGTCTATTTTGTAAGCCATGAGTAATTCTGGGTGAAAAGTTAGAAATAGGCAAATCTACTCCAAATGCAAAGCACAGGGCTGATCATATAGCTCAGCAGTAATGTTAGCCTAACAAGTGTGAGTCTCTTGGGATTTGATCTACTGGGACACACACACACACACACACACACACACACACACACACACACACTCACTCATTCATGCATACAGACCCACAAAGACACATGAAAATAAGTAATGTAATAAAGAATTAAAGAAATCAGTAGTTAAGTAGTAGTTAATTTATAAGTAATAGACACTAACGAAATGCCTTACCTTGGCCAATTCTGTAATTTTACCAACACCAGGCTTCCAAGAGGAAGCTGTGAATAGACAATCTTATACCCGCTTTCCAGGAACTGAGACTCTGCAGGAAAATCCTCCTCAGAAACCGAGCAGCTGTTGTAGCTGGAGTCAGTGTTCATGAAGCAGTACCAGGGTTCACTGTGCTCCACCCTGGCCGCAGCCTCAGCAGACAGCATCCTCCATTTCAAGCAGCCTTCATTCTCACACTGGACCCACATCCTGTTCACAAACTCACTGCTCTCCAGGGCCGGGTCCATTGAGTTGCTACTGACCACTCAGTTAGCTTGTTGTTGTTTTTGGGGTTTTTTTCCCTCAGAAGTTAAACAAATCTGGAAAATAAAAAAATACATATTTAAGAGTAAGAGATAAAATTTAAATCATGAGAAAAAGTTCTTTTCTATTTTCTGCCTACTCCTGTGTGTCTGGCATGTGTTCTGCTGACCCACAACAATAACACAGCAGACATGTAAATTATGCTAACAACAAGTGCTCTGAAATTAAAAACCGTCAAATCCACCTTTAGATGAGAGTCTAGTTCAGCACTGTCTATTACTGACACTCACTATACACAAGGTATTGTTTTCCTTTTTGAGACAATCCTATGCTGTAGCCCAGGCTGGCCTCAAACTCTCCACACTTTTGCCGAAGCTTCCTGGGTGCTAGGATGAGCAAACCACACACAGAGATACCAGGTGTCAGGTCCTAACTGCCTTATGCACACAGCTCACATTATACCCATTCTGCCAAGGAAACTGAAGCTAAGAAAAGCATGTTTAAGCCCCAGGCACAGTACTCTGTAGAGCTGAGGTTTAACTGCAGACATCTGGGCTCTTAATTCTGTGGTCTTGTCCTTAGATGCACTGCTCTAGAGTACACAAGACCACAGACAGCATCATGCATCGTCCTGTTCTTTTTCTAAAAATCAGGAAAACCAAATACAGCAAATGTTTTACCTCATGAAAACTATAATGATTTAAAAGTTAGATGAGCAACCTGTTCCTTAGGAAGTTCTGCCCCTTATCTCACTAACAAAAGCACCTTCTCAGAGCTTCATTATGAGGCGTTTACATGTATGAATAGAGTTGTGTGTTAAAACTCCCCAAATTCAGCATCAGTAACAATACGGAAGGATATACTAATAATGTAACTACAGATGAAACTAAGTATTGACAATATATTTCCCAATAGCCTACTTTTAAAAAACGGAAGGAGATATAGGAGCTGGCAAAATGGCTCAGTGGACAAAGGGACCTGCTGCCAAGACTGGTGAACTGAATCTGATCCCAGAACTCACATGATAGAAAAAGAAAACGGACTTGCATAAGTTTTTCTCTGATCTCCACGTGCATGCCACAATAAATGCATGTGAACACATACACACACACATATGCACACACACTAAGTAACTAAATAAATAAGTGCAAAAATATTTTGGTATACAAGAGGTGATTAATCAGTACAACAGGACTATCCAAATACTAGCACCATTCAAACAGGCCTTTTAATTCACAAGTTAATCATACACTTATTTACTCATCATGTTCCTTACTTGAGCCCCTACAAATTGCATTTGAAATAGTCAATATATGCATTAGCCATTGATTACTATGTTTTAAAATTTTAACACTTTTTTATTAACTGCATTTCATTTTTAAATTTCCTATGAATGTTCTGAACTTTCCATTGTACATGGTATAAGGTCTGTTACATAAGATCACTTTCATACAAGTAGATACTTTATGTTGAGCATGCTCCCTCAGAACCTTCTACCACGGCCTTCCTTTTTCACCCACTCTCCCCTTTAGTCCCATTATCTCCTGACAGTCTAGTTTCACTCTTATATTTATGTCATACATACATTTATAATTTCCCCTATCTACAGAAAACCTAGGAACCATGATTCTCAAAAATATTTATTTTTTCTGAGACTGCCTTAATTCACTTGATATGATTATCTCCAGTTACATACACTTTCCTAAAATGATCTAACTTCACACTTCTTTATGGGTGAAAAAATTCCATTGTACAAACACACCAGAAATTTCTTCTCTATTCCTGTTGTCTCTATGTTGCTGGAGATCTAGGTTGGCTCCATCTGAACTATTGTAACCCGCTGCTGCAATAAATATTACTGTGTGAGTATCTCTGTGATACATTGTCTTGGAGCTCTTTGTGGAAATATCCAGGAATGGTATAATTAGGTCACACGGAAGACGACCTTCTCTTTTAGAACCTCTATACCAATTTCCATAATGGCTGTACTAGTTTACACTCCCACAGGCAATGGAGGGTCCACTTTGGTCCACATCCTCACCAGAATTTGTTTTCTTAATTACTGATATTCTGGCTGGGGTGGGATAGAATCTCAGTGCAATTTTAATTTGCATTTCTGTGATAGAGAAAGAGGTTGAACTTTTTGTATGTGTTTATTGAACAAATTTGTATCTCATTATTTGAGCACTACCTGCTCACTTAGTCATTTACTGACTTGTCTGAATTCTTAGTTTTTTAGCTATTTGTACATTCTAGATATTAATCACATCATATGTACAGTTAGCACAGATCTCCCCCCATTCTCTATTGGTAAACTCTGTTTATTGTTTCTATAGCACTGCAGCAGCTCTTGATTACATGAGGTCCCATTTGTCAGGAAGTTATTGCCACTGCCTATGTCTTGAAATAGTTTTTTCTTCTAATGGTTTCAGAGTTTCAGGTCTTACGTTAAGATATTTCATTCATTTGCAATTGATTTTTTGTACAATGACCTAGTTTTATCTTTCTACTTATATTTACTTTTCCCACACCATTTGCTAAAGATGCTGTCCATTCTCTAATGTATATTTTTGGTATCATTATCAAAAAAATCACATGACTGCAGATGAGTGGATTTATATCTGGGTCTTTTATTTCACTGATTGACATATCTGGGTTTTTTGTCTATACTGGGGTGCTTTCATTGATATGGCTCTGTATTATACCTTGAAATTGGTTACAGTGACACCTCCTGCATCAATCTTTTTTGCTCAGGATTCCTTGTAGTATCTGGGGCCCTTTGTGCTGCTGTGTGAATTAGTATTTTATTTTCTACTGCTGTGAAGAATAGCATTAAGATTTGGATGAGGATTATGTGGATTGCTCTTGGTAAGGGCACTTCCGCAATACTACTTCCTCCAATCCCAGAGCATGTGAAGTCTTTTCAATCTAGTCTCTGCTTCAATTACTTTCCTCAGCGTTCTAGGTTTTCATTGAGGAGGTTTTTCAATTCCTTCTTTGGGTTTATTCAAAGAAAATGTTTTTTCTTGAGGTAAAAGTAAATGGAGTAATGGGATTGTTTCTCCAATTTCTTTATCGGAATGTTGGTTATTGTCATACAAACTCTATACTCCCATCCTCCCTTCTCTATTTCATAGTTTTTCCTCTTTCATTTAGCATCCAATGTCAATTCAGCATGCTATCTCTGTCCCACCCAGGCCTATTCCATAACTTGACTATTGTGAGTAGTATTATGACAGACACATGTATGCAGAAATCTCTATAGAAACTTGGCTGTATTCCTTTGGATGCACATCCAAAATTGTATAATTGGATCTAGTGATACCTGTATCTTTAATTTGTAGAGGAATCTGCATGCTGACTTGGATGATGTGTTAGTTTATACTGCCACAAAGAGGGTACAGTATTCCTTTTCACTCACCTCTCACCAGCATGTGTTGACTGCTATTCTTGATAATAGCCATTCTGATTGGATGAAATGGACTCCCAATAGATTTTTAATTTGTATTTACCTGAGGCAATTAAAATTCTTGTTATTGTTTCCTGAGTTGTTGGAGCCTTATTCAGAAAGTCCTATGCCTAGATCTTAAACTGGTCTCCCTATTCTCTCCTTTAGTTTCAAAGTTCCAGATCTTACATTTAAATCATTGGTCAATTTTGAATTGATTTTTGTGCAGGTGAGACATGGCAATCTATTTCTCTCTTTTACCCATGGATTTCCAGTTCTCCCAGCACCAATACTGAGTCTGTTTCTTTTCCAACCTATGTTTTTGGCCTCTTAATAGAAGATTAGATGGAGGTGGCTGCATAGGCTTGTTTCTGGGTCCTCTGTTTTACCTAGCCACAGACTTGATTTTACTGCCAGTATTATACTGTTTCTATTACTATTTCACTGTATTAAAATTTGGTATTGGGCATTGTGATGCCTCAATGGTAGCTTGAGCTCTTCAGGGCCTTTTGTCTTTGCATATTAATTTTTTCCTAGTTCTGTGAAGAATGTCATTGGAGTTTTAAAGTAGGTTACATTGAATCTGTAGGTCACTTTTAATAATACGGCCATTTTCTCAAGACTAAGTCTGCTAATCCATGAACATGGGATGCCTTTTTCATCTTCTACTATCTTCTCCAACTTTTTCCCTCAGATATTGACTGCTTACTTTGTTATTTATTGTGATTACTGTTAATGGGGTTGTTTTCTTTTTTCAGAAAAACAAAGGTACATAGGAAAGTTCTTGATTTTGTGTGTTGACTTTGTGTTCTGATACTCTGATGAAATGTATATTGGATCTACAAGTTTTCTTGTAGTGCTCTAGGGTCTTTTATGCATGAGATCAGGTTGTCTGCAAATATAATTTGACTTCTTTCTTTTTGTATCCCTCTTATTTCTTTTCCTTGTGTTATTACTATGGCTAAGATTTCAAATACTATAAAATGGATACTCTTGTCTTATTCCTGATCTTAAGGGAAGTTTTCAGTTTATCTACATTCAGTATAATGCTGGTTATATATTTGTTGTAAATGACTGTTCTTATATTTAGATATAATCCTTTTATTCCTATTAATCATTTCTTCAGGGCTTTTCTTTTTTATCAGAAAGAGACATTAAATTTTGTTACAGGCTTTTTTGCTGCACCTATTGAAATAAAATATATGGCTTCTATTCTACTAATGTGCTTTACTGTGCACATGCTAAAGTTGATTTCATGCCAAAAATGTAAGAATGCAAATTGAATTTGGCTTGTAAAGATTTTGAGGATTTTTGCTTTTATGTCTATCAAGAATAATTATCTGCAGTTTTCTATTGTATGGTATCTTTTATCTTTATTGAATAAAGATAAAGGTATTCTTTCATTTACTATTTTATGGAACACACTGACGAGCACTGGTGTTACTTGTTTATAGGTATGAAAGCATTCAACAGTGACTTAATCCAGGCTTTGACTAGTTTTTGTTGGAACACTGTTACTGCTTCATTGTTACTGTTTGTATCCATTTAAATTTTTATATATTCTTGGTTCAATTTTGGCTCAAGTTACATGTGGCTAGAATTTTATTC